CTCAAAACACATCAAACAAAAAAGATTAGACATATGAACAACTTGTGTATATCCTCAAAACACATCAAACAAAAAAGATTAGACATATGAACAACATGTGAACCGTATGAACATCTTCTGTATATTCAGAAACCTACTCTGTTGTATGTACATGAACACCTACGAAGTTTGTGTTCACATGAATCACATATATTGTTCATATTCATGTGATGTGATTGTGCATATGTATCGATATGAACATCTATTGCCTTTGATATGTGTTCATTTAAACGTATTCAAATGTCATACTAATCACTTACCAATAGGAAGACTTTGATCATTTTCTTCATTATCGGAATTTGAATTGCGAATGTAGTCGTAGACGATTTTGTCATTTCCATTGTTGTCAATCAATTTTACAATAGGATTATTCATATTACTCGAATGATACAAAAAATTTTTACACTTACGAAAACAATTAATATCATCATTTATAAACTATGATCATAAACACGTATGAAAATAAAATCATTATTACATCATGATTAATTAGTAAGATCTTTAAGATTTGTAACTCCCAATTAATTATTAGGGAGTTACATAAATGTCAAATTACCTAATTACCCCTGTATTTAATATATGAGTTACATTTGAACATAAATAAAAGATGAAATATGATTGGTTAAGAGTGGTTAGTATAGTTAACACAAATTTCTTGGTTAGTATTTGAACCAAACACTCTCTCTCTCTCTCTCTTTATATATATATATATAGAGAGAGAGAGAGAGAGAGAGTTTGTTTCAAATACAACCCATCGTATTTGTACAACCAATGCAACCCAATAAATTGAGATATTTATGGAAATGATGAGAGTTCATTTATTATAATTTGAATATTTATGGAAGATGAATATGGTTCATTAATTATAATCAATACTTTATATTAACAAACAATGAAAACTTTTGTGAAATCACATATTAATCAAATGAAATGGACGGTTGARATTGAGTTGTATTGGTTGCACAAATGTCAAGGGTTGTATAATAACCAACATCTCTCTCTCTCTCTCTCTCTCTCTCTCTCTATATATATATATATATATATATAGGGTTGGGTTCACGTGAGATCAAGGGTTTTTCGTGAGACCCGTAAGACCAATTTATGCTCATTGATTAACTTTATAAACTAATGATCTAATGGTCTAAAGTTGCAAGGTGACAATTATGTAATTATTGAGAAATCTCGTGGCGTTTATGAATGTTCAGATCTGACGATTGTAAATCTAATCCAAGGGTTGAGAATTGGTCTTACGGGTCTTACGGAAAACCATTGGTCTCACATGATCCCAAGTATATATATATATATAGGAGCGTTCAAATAAAAACCTGTCCCATTTGTGTAAACCGTGTAAACCAATCTTATCCATCCATTTTCTTGATCAATGACCAAGATTAATTTACTTTATTTTAAGAAATTAAAAGTATATATATTAAAAAAATTATTTTATTTCAACAGTAAGGGCAAAAATGGTAAACAAAATTTAACATTTGGTAACATCTTTCTCGATATTAATGACACTATTTTCATTTTTAAAGCAATATATTATTTTTAACTTTAAATCACATCTATCAATAAAACATATAAAAAAAAATGAATATAAGACACCATATTCAATTATATGGAGTGAATCATTTTAAATTTTGAATTACATTATATGAACAAAATTGGTTTCAAAATTTAATCAACAGACTAATCAACGTAATACTGATCATATTTCGTAATTTTCATTATACTGGTAGATGGATCCGTTACACTTAGATAACGAATTTTTTTCATCGATTACTGACTTCATAAAAGTTTATAATACAACATGAAATTGTTTCACTTATGCAACCATTTCACTTATCAGGCTCAATACTGCCATGAACCAGTTTCACTTTCATGAAAACTATTTCATGTACAGTAATTTTCTTATTTCATCACCAATTTGATGGAATCATTCCTTCAGTCCTTACAATCTTGAAGATTCTGGAGCAGGTTACAATCTTCAAGATTATGTAGCAGATTAAAATCATATCCCCATTTCATCATGCACTTCGTTCATGACGAGCGAAATACAAAATGACTCAACTACACCATCAATGCAACGGGTTCACCATGAAAATGTTTCGGTTTCACATAATTTATTTGCAACAAGACCCGGTTTCACGTTCATGAAACCTGTTTCATTTTCCTTTTCATATTTTATTTTCAAAATGCACCGGTTTCATTTTCCTTTTCATCAACAAAATGGATCAACTACACCATCAATGCAACGGTTTCACCATAAAAATGTTTGGTTCACCTAATTTATTTGCAACATGAACCGGTTTCACGTTCATGAAACCTGTTTCATTTTTCTTTTCATAATTTTTTTAAAAATGTACCGGTTTCATTTTGTTTTTCATAAAAAAAAGGATTAACTACACCATCAATGCAACGGGTTCACCATAAAAATGTTTCGGTTCACCTAATTTATGTTCATGAAATCTGTTTCATTTTGTGGAATTTTTTTGTTCATCTACGTTTTGATGATTTCATTCTATAATTCAATTGTTTCATCAAGACACGTTTCCTGATTATAACTCATGACAATATATGAAATCCAAAATTTTAATATTTTAATATTTTAATATAATTAAATATTTAAATGTTACCATTTATACAATTTTCTTTATTACGTTTCCTTAATTAAGA